ACTAGCTACTACTACTACTACTACTACTGACTACTACTACTACTACTACTACTACTGCTACTACTACTACTACTACTACTACTACTACTACTGACTACTACTACTACTACTACTGCTACTACTACTACTACTACTACTACTACTACTACTACTATACTGCTACTACTACTACTACTGCTATTACTACTACTACTACAATACTGCTACTACTGTACTACTACTACTACTACTACTACTACTACTACTACTACTACTACAACTGCTACTACTGCTACTACTACTACTACTACTACTACTACTACTACTACTACTACTACTACTACTACTACTACTACTACTACTACTACTACTACTACTACTACTACTACTACTGACTGCTACTACTACTACTACTACTACTACTACTACTACTACTACTACTATACTGCTACTACTGACTACTACTACTACTACTACTACTACTACTACTACTACTACTACTACTACTACTACTACTACTACTACTACTACTACTACTACTACTACTGCACTACTACTACTACTACTACTACTACTACTACTACTACTACTACTACTACTACTACTGCTACTACTACTACTACTACTACTACTACTACTACTACTACTACTACTACTACTACTACTACTGCTACTACTACTACTACTACTGCTACTACTACTACTACTACTACTACTACTACTACTGCTACTACTACTACTACTACTACTACTACTACTACTACTACTACTGTACTACTACTACTGCTACTACTACTACTACTACTACTACTACTACTACTACTACTACTACTACTGCTACTACTACTGCTATTACTACTACTACTACTGCCATTACTACTACTACTACTATTGCTACTATACTGCTATTACTACTGCTACTACTACTACTACTACTACTACTACTACTACTACTACTACTAACTAATAATAATAATAATAATAATAATAATAATAATAATAATAATAATAATAATGCAAAAAATGAAAAAAAAATGACAAAGTAAAATTATAATATAATGAAATGAATGATTATTGGAAACATGATTAATGTGACTGGATTTAAATGTGATTGTTTTGAGGTTACTGACAGCCCCCATTGTTTTTACGTTGCAATTTTCCGTTTATTTTATGAGCATTGTTGAACGCGCCACATTATTTAGTCTGTGTGCCTTGAGCTAGACTTCAGTTCTCAACAGTATCGGGTAGAGCGAGAGCAGGCGAGTTTTTCTAAGCCTGTTTTTAACTTTTTGTGGCTTCGTAATAAACATCGCTTGTGAAAAAGGCAATCTAAATCAGGGGTCTCTAACCTTTTTCCTCCGGTGAGCTACTTTTACCAAACAGAAATGCCAGAGAGTGACTAATTTTAGTGTTGGCAAGAAATTTAAATGGTAAATGGTTAGATTTTTATACAGCGCTTTTCCACCTTCAAGGCACTCAGAGCACTTTACAACAAGAAAAAACTCACCAATTCACACACACACATTTATACACAAGTGTACGCAGACACTGGGGGCGAGGTGGGTTAAGTGTCTTGCCCAAGGACACAGTGACAGCAGCATTGACGCTCTACCAACTGAGCTACTGCTGCCAAAATTTCGTACATATAAGAGCGACGGCGAGACTTGGAGTAAAGTTACAGTACAGACACTTATAAATCATAAAACATGATCCATTTATTAGTATTTATTGTTAAGCACCAAAATAATGAAAACAATTTTAGTTATTCAGAATCAGAGGTGGGGACTTGCAAGTCGTGACTTTGACCCAAGTCAGATTTGAGTCTTGATCTTTAGGACTTGAGACTTGATAAAATAGACTAAGACTTGGGACTCGACTCGGACTTGAGCCCTGTGACTTGAGAAAACTTGATGCTTCTCCTAAAATATATGTTTTTAGAACATACTTTTCTCTTTACTGTTGATAAATGCAATGCTGAATTATACAGGAACAAACTGGAACATGTTCCTCCCACTTTTGTTTATCACTTTGGATGTAAATGAAGTACTGTGATGTTGTGTGATCAAATGTACTACAGTAATATACAGTACAATAGAGGGAACTACAAAGAACCTTCCATTTCAGTGCAGAATACATGACAAAAAACTGTTAAAATCTTAATTCTTTCTGTTCTGACCATAATTTTTCACACTAAGATCTTGTCAAGACATTAAAAAAACATTTACATTTATTCAATTCTTATATAAATACTCATATATAAATATACCATGACTTTTTAAGTACAGTTTAGTTTAAAATTCATACGAGAAAACACAATGATGTCACGTCAGCCATTTTGGTAGGCAAAAAGCGTCCGTATCAACAAGTCAGCATCAACATCGTCAACAGTTATCGGTGTACAACATCAGCAATCGTCATACAACAGTACAACATCAACATCGTCATACAACAGTACAACATCAACATCGACATACAACAGTACAACATCTACAGTCGTCATACAACAGTACAACATCAACATCGACATACAACAGTACAACATCAACATCGACATACAACAGTACAACATCAACATCGACATACAACAGTACAACATACAACATCAACATCGACATACAACAACATACAACACAACATCGACATACACATACAACAGACATACAACATCAACATCGACATACAACAGTACAACATCAACATCGACATACAACAACAGTACAACATCATATACAACAACATCGTCATACAACAGTACAACATCAACATCGACATACAACAGTACAACATACAACATACAACATCAACATCGACATACAACAGTACAACAACATCGACATACACAACAGTACAACATCAACATCGACATACATACAACAGTACAACATCTACAATCGTACAACATAACAACAGTACAACATCAACATCGACATACAACAGTACAACATCAACATCGACATACAACAGTACAACATCAACATCGACAACAACACATACAACACATACAACAGACAAACGACATACAACAGTACAACATCGACATACAACAACATACAACATCTACAATCGTACAACATACAACAGTACAACATACAACATCGACATACAACAATACAACACATCTACACATCGACATACAACACATACAACATCTACACATCGACATATAACATACAACGTACAACATCAACATCGACATACAACAGTACAACATACAACATCAACATCGACATACAACAGTACAACATCAACACATCGACATACAACAACATACAACATACAACATCGACATACAACACAACAGTACAACATACAACAACATCGACATACAACAGACATACAACATACACACACACATCGACATACAACACAACAGTACAACATCAACATCGACATACAACAGTACAACAGTACAACTACACATCAGTTACATACAACAGTACAACATCGACATACAACAGACATCGACATACAACAGTACAACAACATCGACATACAACAGCACAACATCGACATACAACAGTACAACATCAACATCGACATACAACAGTACAACATCAGACGACATACAACAGACACACAACATCAACAGACATACGACATACAACAGTACAACATCAACATCGACATACAACAGTACAACATCAACATCGACATACAACAGTACAACATCAACAACATACAACAGTACAACATCAACATCGACATACAACAGTACAACATCAACATCGACATACAACAGTACAACATCAACATCGACATACAACAGTACAACATCAACATCGACATACAACAGTACAACATACAACATCGACATACAACAGTACAACATACAACATCAACAATCGTCATACAACAGTACAACATCAACATCGTCAACAGTTATCAGCGAGTTTTAACTTTTCAAAGTAACGTTTTTGATCCTCAGCATTCAGTAATTTAGCATCATGTCAAAACAATTAAATGCAAAACCTACTTCAAAATAAGACAAGTTATCTCATGACAGATGTACGCAACCCAACTATCAACACAAACGAGCGACCCCACAGTGACTGAGCACGTGCGGAAAAGCCAAATGTAAACAAAAAAGTTTTCTCATATATACATTGCAAAAATCAAAGCTATATTTGGTGCTTTGGTTTAAAGACTTGAAGCTCAAAGCAGACGACTTGGACTTGTTTTGGACTTATGGGCCAGTGACTCAAGACTCGACTTGTACTTTCCTGTTTTTGACTTGGGACTTGACTCGGACTTGAGGTCAAAGACTTACCTGAAACTTCCAAAACAACGACTCGATCCCACATCTGTTCAGAACGACATACTACTCAGAAATCCCTCGGCGAGCTGCTTTGAAGAGAGTGGAAAGCAGCTGTAGCGCCCGAGCTCTGCGCCTAAAGATCTGCAGCGCTACGGCAGCAGTCGAACATGCGCTTCCTGTGGTATCTTTAATCAAGAGAAGTGAAAGAGACGAACAAAAACACAACAAGAATCAAACCCTCCCTTTGGTCCCTCTTGAGCTCGCTGCCTCTTCATCACAAGGCGCTTACAGACCTGCAGCCTCTGATGTTTTGTATTAGCGTTGACGAGGAAAGATGTTGACTCAGATCCTGTATTCTTTTATCCCACCTTTTATCTCGACTGTTAACATGAAAGCAAACAATGGGGCTGCAGAGGAACAGCTAATAGGTATCTGCTGAGGCTGGTTAACCCTGCAGACTTATTTCTTATGTATTTTTTCATCTGCCTGACCTGGGCAAGAGCACGCAATTATCCGATTACAAAAATGACAAAAACCACCAGTGTGAAATTGCTTTTTTGGATTTGAAGTGCATATCAGATATTTCTTTTAGCGTTTTTGTTGACTGCGAAGGTGAATTTCTACCACCTTCCGTCACTCTCTCAACAGGGATTCATTTATAGCACCTACCGCAACAAGCAAGGCCACAGAGCCAATAATATCATGCTTAATAGTGAATGAAATTGTGTTTTATTGTGTGTGGTTTAACGGCTGCCTGGTCTTGTAGGGTTGATCCGTCTCCGCTCGAGTCCCCTTCCAAAGCTTCAAGGCCTGGAATACGTTCTGAATGTGACTGCCACAGATGACAACGCGTCAGGAGGCCCCCACGCGCTCTCCTCCGCCGCCCGTGTCATCGTCGGGGTGGATGATGTCAACAATAACAAACCGGTTTTTGAAGAGGTACGGACTTTTATGGATTAAAGTACGGTGCCCGGCAAACACTTTTACACTTCCCAAACACACACTGACAGGTTTGGAAAACAAAATTACACTTAAAATACACATTTACGTCTTGAAAACAAATTTACGAAACACGGAACATTTGTACAAGCGCCGAGACAAATTTACATGTGGCAAAAACAGAAATACAAACCCCCAAAACATAGACCTTTTTCACAACGGCCTGAGGTGCAGCGATGTCGGGTAAACGTAATTTCCAGTTAACGTCCAGCTTTTCTGTAGCAAAATATCTGTGGAAATGTCTCGCGTATTTTTCACAAACTTCATAAATCTGCCCCATCACCAAATCTTCAACCAACAAAGAATTTATCCATAACTATCAAAGTAAGAAAGACGAAAACGTAAAGGCGAACAACGACGACGCATTAGTGAACTTCTCCTGAGCAAAACTAAAGTTATTGTCGTTCGTTATTTTTTCCGCTTTTTAGAACATTCCAACTTTCTTGTTCATTTGTTTCAGGGGTTTGTATTTGTGTTTTTGCCTCGTGTAAATTTGTCTCGGCGCTTGTACAAATGTTTCGTGTTTTGTAAATGTGTTTTATGAAACTCGGAATTTGTTTTCAAGATGTAAATGTGTATTTTAAATGTAATTTGGTTTTCAAATTTGGTAATGTGTGTTGTGAAATGTAAAAGTGTTTTGCACTTGCCGGCCACCGTATTAAAGGGCCCATGTGTCATGTTTTAGTGTTAGGTTTGGTCTTTAAAGGGCCCGTATTACACTGTTTTATGATTTGTTATGTTTCCTCATCACAAACAGACCTGGAGTTGTGTTTTGTTTCATTCACACACGCACAAACCCTTCATATATTACATAAGTTAGCTGAGTTCTTCTCTCAAACAGAAAATATTTAGTTCCTCCTTGTGATGTCATGTGGTAATACAGGAAGTGCTCCACTGTGCTTATAAACTCCAGATTCGATTCGATTTTATAGTCATTGTACAAAATACAACAAATAGAGCAAAACTGCAGTGGTAAAAATGAATAAATATAACCACTCTCCATACACATTCACTACAATCGTTTGGATGATTTCAGTCCTGGAACTGCCAGTCTCGGCAGAACTAAAAGGAAAACGTAGCTGCTAACTGGAAAACTACCATTTCATGACATCACAAAGGTTTTGGAGATGTAGACAGACTAAACAAACATGTGTGAATGAAACAAAACAACTCCCTTTGATGAAGTAACAGCGTTATAAGGTCAATTTTGTGTAACATAGGACCTTTAAGACACTGTGTAATATCATCATAACTGCATCAATATATTTATTACATGGCTGGGAAACATGACATTAAAGCTTAGTAATAGTTCGTTAATTTTGTGTCCCCTTTACAGTATATCTGGCATTCTCTTTAAATGAATAAACGACATGAATAAACCAGTTTTGTGTAATCTTACTGAAAACAATGTTGATTTGGCATGAACACATACTGTATGTACTGTAATATACAGTTCTTCATGTCTAACTTAAAGGTGTATTGTGTAACTTTTCTAGTGGAGGGTTTGTCACCTGCTTGTTTCTGTGGATATGTCATTACTCTGTCTGGAATGTTCCACAGTATGATATTGAACTGTTTTACTTCACATTTATTCAATTACAGGCAGTTTTATTGCTTTAAAATATCTGGAAAAACAGACATTCTGACTGTGAGCAGGGTCGCCTCTCCACAGATCTGACCTGTAACTTGGTCTGGTTTGGTCTCCATGAAGATAGAAAGGTTTAACGCCATACTGTGAAACATTGCAGACAAAGCAATAAGCCACGCCGGCGCCACCTAGTGCCTCCGCTCAGTTTCATTTCTCTCCAGCGACTATGTCAGGAATCAAAATGCACTAGAACAGGGAAACGAAAACGCCGGAGAGCTTCTCATTTTAGTGATCGCAAGAAATGGAGTGGCTATAAGAGGGCAAGCTTTAGTGTTCTACAGTTAGATACCTTTAAAACCTAAAAGCATTATCCATTTATTTGTTTACAAAGTTCAAAATAACACATTTACAATTGTAGTTAATCAAATTTGAGTTATTTAGTATAATGCCTAATTCAGAAATTCTTTGGCCCACACGGACCCTCCCCCTCACATACGTCGAGCAGGCTGTGCTGTCTAAACCTAAACAGGTCTAAACCACTAAACCTAGAACTAAACCAGCAGTCTAAAACCAGAAACTAAACCAGGTCTCTAAACCAGAACTAAACTAGGTCTAAACCAGAACTAAACCAGGTCTAAACCAGAACTAAACTAGGTCTAAACCAGAACTAAACCAGGTCTAAATCAGGTCTAAACCAAGTCTAATCTATGACTTAACTAGGTCTAAACTAGGACTAAACCAGGTCTAGAACAGGACTAAACCAGAACTAAACCAGGTCTAAACCATGACTAAACTAGGTCTAAACCAGGTCTAAACCAGGACTAAACCAGGTATAAAACAGGTCTAAACCAGGTCTAAACCAGGACTAAACCAGGTCTAAACCAGGACTAAACTAGGTCTAAACCAGGACTAAACCAGGTCTAAACCAGGACTAAACCAGGTCTAAAACCAGGTCTAAACCAGGTCTAAACCAGACTAAACTAGGTCTAAACCAGGTCTAAACCAGGAACTAAACCAGGAACTAAACCAGGTCTAAACCAGGAACTAAACAGGTCTAAACCAGGACTAAACAGGTCTAAACCAGAAACTAAACCACTCAGGACCAGGACTAAACCAGGAACTAAACCAGGACTGAACCAGGTCTAAACCAGGACTAAACCAGGTCTAAACCAGGACTAAACCAGGACTAAACCAGGTCTAAAACAGGTCTAGAACAGGTCTAAACTAGGTCTAAACTGGGTCTTAAACCAGGACTAAACCAGGTCTAAACCAGGTCTAAGCCATGACTAAACCAGGTCTAAACCAGGTCTAAAACCAGGACTAAACATGATTTAGCCTGGACTTAACATTGCAACCAGACCCCCCCCCCCCCCCCAACTCCCTCCGGTCAGCGAGATATTGTCTGATATAAAACTGGTCTGTGGCTCAAAAAAAGATTGGGGACCAGTGTTTTAGTCAATTCCTTTCCGCTTCTCCGTGTTTGATAGAACTTAAAAAAGCGAATGTCCCCATCTCATCTCGTGGGATTTGTGGACAAAATATCGCAGATGTGGGCTGGAGCGGGACTGAAAATTACAATTCTTTGTCGGAATTGGCCCACGCAGACTTCTATTACATACGTCACGACCAAATAGCAACGATTGGTTAAATTTTTTTTTAAAAAGTACCCGCCTACCGTCACACGAATGAATCCTAATGCTGCGAGGTCAGACGGTTTCTACAAAGTGAAACCGGCTGATGAGTCAGACTAATTTGACGAACCCTCCACCAGAAAAATGACACAATGCACCTTTCAGCGAGTGAGGTGACCTATAAAAGCAAAATTAAAATCTCGGTTATGTAAAATACGACTTTACTGCCCCAGCGTCTTGACAGCTTGTTTTACGACCCACTCACTTACTCATTTAAACATTGGACCTGAAATATAGAGAAGGTTTCGGGGGCGATGATCTGGACTCCGTTTTTGCAATTAAGATGTAAGTTCTGCGCTCATCCAGAAGCCATTTTCAATTTGTGAACCATTCTTTACAGCAGGGGTGTCAAACTCATTTTGGTCCGGGGGCCGTATCCAACCTACTTTGATCCCAAAGGGGCCGGATCAGAAAACTCATGTCATATAAACCCCAAAAATAACAATAAGTTCAAATATTTGTGCAGAGAAACGCAAATCTATTACAGCAATATTTTTTAATTGATGAACTCTTTCTTTTACAAAATATTATAATATTATGAACAACCTGAAACTTTAAAGAAAATCCAATTTCAACACAAAGTTTTTAACTTTAACTTGTATGCAAATAGGAATAAGTCAATTTTTCTTGGAAAATTCTGCACTCGGCTCCACTTTTCTCATTTTTGACATTTTTTTCTGATGAGGTGTTCACGGTCAACAGTCAAAACGATCGTCCTTTAAGAGCGTTTGGAAAGAGACAAGTCTTCATTTGTGCTGCTCTGGTGGGAGGGGCCACGTACAGAGACGCTGGAGATGCTGCTGTGCTAAGCGATGCAGAAAATTACCAATATTTTAATAGAAAATATAATAAAAATATTTTAGTAGAAAATCAGCCAAGGGCCAGATTAAAGGTCTTGGAGGGCCGGATCTGGCCCCCGGGCCGTATGTTTGACACCTGTGCTTTACAGTATAATCTTTTTAATATTTGCTCTAGTAAATGTGAGGGTAATTGGATGCAGAGAAAGTTTTAAACATTGCCAAAAAAGTGAAAAATAACACAATAGTTGTAGCCCCGGGCATGATTGAGGTAACTTATGTATGGACTTGTACTGTCTGTTAAAATGAAGCCCTGTGGGTCACTCGCCCTATATACGCTTTTAAACTTTCAGAACAGTAGCAGGTCATTTGCAACTGGGCAAAGTTTGTTAAAGGTGCATTGTGTAACTTTTCCGGTGGAGCGTCCGTCAAATGCAGTTTTACACATATAAATAAAATCGAAATTCTTGGTCATTATTTGTCTCCAAAACCAAAATGAAAAAAAACTGATAATGAAAAATCTGCCGCGTTGCCATTAAAGACCATTTCGAGAGCAGATTTCATCCACCGTTTTGACAAGTACGAATGCTTCCCCCACATGCCAAAGTATTTCTTGAGAAAATCTTGTCTTTTGTGTTTAGGCTGCATTTGTCAAATTTTCATAACTGAGATGGCATCTGCAAGTTAGAGAGGAAAGGCCGTCTCTGATTTGTAAAAAATATATGCATTAGTATTCATTCAATTCTGAACCGTATATTACTGTTTTGTTTTGGTGGCTGTCTCTGCCTGACACAGGAATACTAATACCTGGCAGCTCGGTGTTTTGCCTCGTTCTGTCCCAACCCGCCTCTTCTCCCGAAATAC